AGAGACAATATTATAACAGATTTTGCCAGTGATGCAGCAAGGACATTATTTGTGGTTTTAATTTGTGGATGGTGTGACAATCTTCGTTGAAGATTTAACTATAAATGCATTATTTGTTTTAGTCTAAAACTTTGTACAAGAATGATTTTTCGCCGATGCAATTCAGTTATTTTGCATTATCTAAGCTTGGCCATGAAGCAAAAGCTTGTAAATATTTATTATTTTCTTGTTTCTATCATATATGGCTGGGACTAGGAAATACATAGTGTAACTATACCATGATGTTAGGCCAAGAAACTTCTTCAAACACTCTTCAGTGTGATTATATGTTAATATATGCAATAAATTATCGATGATAACTTAAAGCCTTAAAGCTTAGCCATGAAGCAAAAGCTTGTAAATATTTTTCGTCAGGCAGGGCCTGATAATAGCTTGATACCAGTCTGTGACTAGTCAAAGTTTAATTAACTGTTAATTAGAAGTAAAGTATTTAAATTTTTCATTAATTTAATGTAACAGAACGTTCTATACCTTCTACCTTTTTTGTGCGGTACGAAACTCTCGTATAACTTTGTAGACATAATATTTATGAAGTATTGACCAAGTCGATGTTTAATTAAAGAAAAATTACTAAGAACAATAAATGTTCTTGAATTCTATGGATTGTATTCTTTTATTTGACTTTTATTTCAGCCATTCAGTGCTGTGACATATACAGCTTTTGGTCGGGTTGAGTATATCCTAGCGCGCCTGCGATCAGGCAATTTAGGAAAGAAACATCAGAAGAAAAGGAACGCACGCTGATTACTGGATCCGGACACTGGCGACATATAACTGGATGGAAATTGTAGGCTGAGTACCAGTTTCTTCACAGCGCAACCCAAAGCTCTGCCACTTTAATTATGACTGATATTGGAAACTATATTTTCTAGTTTCTGTTCACAGAAAAATATATATTTGCTTCACAGCCTGCCTAACTGAGAAAACGATTTATTTTACGCCTCTGAACAGGAGCTATTGAAATCGGTGAGTCAAGACGGGGGCGGTATTTCTCTTTCGCTTGTATGGCTGTATCAGACCAGTGTGTTATCAAGGATAGTCTTATTAAAATATCTCATTAAGAATATTTTGACGGCTTAAGACTGTTGAATGGATAAAAACGGGGGCGCTGTCTGTCTTTGACTTGAATCACACAGATGTAATCAACTAAGTGGGTTAGTGGGTTATCATAATTACTTCTTAACTATATTTCATGACATTGTATTCCACTTGATCGAGAGCTTGATTTGAAATGTTTGATCTTGAACTGTACCATTGACTAAAGAAATGACTCTCAAACTCATTGACCTGATCTTTCATTCTTGTGAGTGCGCTTTTTGGACACAGATCCCCAGTCCCCAAAGCTGGAAACTGAATAGCAAAGAAAAACATTAAGATTATCAGACGCACGCATCTATCAATCAACGACCACCCGTGGAATCAAAACAACTGCTACTTGGGCAGGTCTGGACATGCGATGGACCCTTGTTGAAAAGACATGCACGCGATTTGTAGATCTGTCAAGCACAAATTAATAAAAAAGTGATCAAACAATGAGGCATGCAGCGTGTGACAATTTGAAGAATAGTCGTTTTCACATGTTAATCTACTATTTGCAGTTTGATCTAATATATTTCGCTACCATTAGAGCTTTCCAATTTTTTCCGTGAATGACTTCCAACTGCAGGAATTTCTTTCAACCAATTCTGATGACATTCAGACTTAAAATCGTTGGCGCCACTGCAGGTACGCCACTGCGACAAGTTGTATACAACGCTTATTTAAAATTACTAACTCATATTTCTTACTGATTGAGACAAAGAATCACTGTTGGACAGTTCATTTCCTTCATTATAAGCCTCAAAGATATTATATATTAACAGCAGGATTATAGATCATCACCTTTACCATTATTTGGAAAACGATGTTACATCTTTAAAAATTTATTCAAATTGTAAATATAAACTAAACAAAGATACAAAATGAGAACATCTTAAAACGCAAGCCATATGAATTAACACAAGACGACTTTCATAGTCGATTACATATGGACATTACATAGTCAATTATTTTCAAAGTTGTCGATCTAGTAATTTTAAACATGCTAACATTGGCCGCATAGCTATATGAATTTAACTATATATATAGTTTAATACAACGATCAGATAAAATGATCACAGTAAAATAATCCGGATTATATAATTTGTGTTCATGTAGCTTCAAAATAGACACATAATAGACTCTTTGATGTACCAAAAGTGATACCCAAGGGTATTTGCTTAAAATCTCTAAAATTCTATATCTTTCAGTTATCTTAGCTCTAGAAATTCGTTGAAACATATCCTAAATATCAACGTATTTAATCGGACTTTGGCAATATTTAACTGCACAATATTTCAAAAAATTCTCCCTCGGTTCTAGAATCAATTGAACATATTAACATTCCTCAAATTTCTGTATTTGAAGTATCTGTAAACATCGTCTAAAAATATTAATAATGATCAATTTGTATAAGTCTTTGTGATAATTAATTTATGTTAAAAAGAATTCTTATTTTTGCGCTAACGGAAAAAGTTCAAAACACATTTCCAACGCGATCAAGACCCCGCATGGCAACATAGATATATATTCTTCAATCATACCATACATCAGTTTTTCACGCGTGTTATTCCCCACGCGCGATCTTCACGCGTTACGTAACACGTGAAATATCTAAAGATAACAAAATTCCTCGTAAAGAACAGCGTTGACAGTATTACAACTTGCTTATTTCCATCGTTTTGCCGAGGATTTCGACATACTTTTCAGGAATTTTGATCCTGCAATTCCCAAATTTATATTGAAACACCAGGCATAATGAATTTAGCGAAATCTATTTTCGCGATCGCTATGTGAAATTGCGTGGGAACCACCGACATAATCCCACGCGTGTGCTTTGCGGGCTATTTGATCGGAAATCAATTTTGTTTTCAACACAATATATACTGAAACTCATATCAGCATGTTGCCTTTACCTCAGTCACACTGATCACTTGCTTGCATGGTAAATTATGTCACTTCAGTTTATTACGAAGAGGGGATGATATTCAAGTATTTTATCAAGGCAAGTATACTTTTTTGTTTTCTTCTTTTACAGACTATCCAACATGCATGATTCGAAATTCCTAACATGACAAACAGACAGTCAGTCATGTGAAATATAATGAGTGCGTTTCATAAGAGTAACTTAAAGTCGTCGAAGAAAAACATAAATAGGACAACAATCTTTGCGAGTCAATGGCTGTCGTAGCATATTCTGTGCCGTATACTAATATTTTCAAGACAGATCTTGTTGTAAGAGTTATATATTTAACCCTTATTCCCATGACAAAAGGTCACATTCTATGACCCTATTTGGGCGCACCCATATTGTCTTTACAAACGCAAAATATTTCAACTGCTGTTAAAAGGGAAGTAAAATTTCTCTTGTTTCTTAAGAACCAACAAAGTTTTCATTTTCAAAAAGCCTTGGAGGTTTAAAAAATATATGGCAATACTAAAACTATTTGCATACGGTCTAGACGCTGGATTTTATAATACTTTAGGTAAATACATTCTGTCGCTTTAATATTGCATTAAGCCCCCCTCAGTGCGAAGTTTTAAGCTCAATTTTCAACAAAATCGGCAATGGGTAGACGAGCTGGCGCACGCAAAAACTCGCGAAGTTTATAAGTTTCCTTTTGTACGCTTTTTTGTTCTTTATTTTGACTATTAAGAACAGCTGCTGTAGAACGACATTATTTTTGAATAATTATATGGTTTCTGGCGCCACGACTCCTCAATATTATTGAATTTAAAAGAATTCATTAACACCTGAGGCTTTCCCTTTATTCCTTAAATGTTAAATGCAAAGTAAAAACTTGCATAAAATTTCGTGAAAACGATAGTTAATAGACTTAAGATATAAGTATAATGAAAGATATTGTGAATATAAATGCTATATCTAACAACTTCACTTCGCTCACTCATTCTATGTCTCGTATACGGTTTCCGTGTCAGCGCTTGAGAATTTATCATCTCACCGATTTGCATAAATTGACGCACGTATAACGCATTATTGAATATTGCATGCGTACATGTTGGTTGTCAGGATTAGAAAAGTATACATAAAAGTGAAATGTAAAACATCAAAGCCTATGGAATCATATTTGTTTTTACTTCGATGCGAAATCTTCATTTATATATAATACAAATCTATAGAGCGGCGATTTGAAAGTGCCAAAAACCAATATATATGGACACCGTTGTTATAGGTGAGGCTGGAATAATATTATCTTGCATGCAGCGAGATATTTTAATGCAGTATACATTACAAGACGATTACTTAAATATACTAGGCATGTCTATAACATATACTCGGAGAGTATTCATTTTCGAGTTGATATTTCTTGAATTTTTGAAATACATTTTGGAAGGAAATTTTTACAGGATGTGAAACTGTGCTCTGTGTTTACATTCTTAACAATTAATTTCCCTGTATTTGCTGAACGTGTTGTCATAACCGCGAGAAAGGCGCCGCACACTACTGCTTTTCGCACATATAATGATTACTTTAAATTAGACGAAGAAAACATCCTGTGGGAACCGGATCCTGGCTATAGTGCATGCATAAATACTCAAGTTGTTTTTCTGCATCGCACACAAAACAGGAATAACGCAGCTTTCCCTTTAGGAAAACTTTATAGACTGTTTTAGCATGCATAGAAACATTATATACTCACATATTTTATAAGATAACTTTTTGCAATCAATCTTAGTTGCAGCTAGGGGAATGAAATTAGGCCAAATGAAGGATTTTGTATATCTGATCCTTACCTGCATGAAACTAAAAATTAACCGAATTTTTTCGCGCGTTCTGATCAGTTTTTAGAAATCTTATAAAGAGTTGATCTATTTTCTTAAAATTGCTTGATTCAACAATTTATATAGCACACCCAGGGTGCTTGCGACCTCCTGTTTCCGACATGTCGAGACTTGCTTGCTTGCTTGCATGTTTCCAACTGAGTGTCATTCAATGTTGTATGTCTGGGATGTATAAAACAGATCCAGCATTGATTAGACGTTTGACCAAGCAAAGAACCTTCATTATAAAACTGAGCTCAAAAAATGTTGGAATGGAACTGATTATTACAACGCATGGTTTAGGTCACTTGGGTGAAGCCAAGATGGAAGCAAACGGCGTACAAACTCTTCAGGTCTTAAACAGTTTATATCCTTTATATTTCTTAGATAAGTCTATATATTTGAGCAGGATATTACTTAGCAAGCTCTCAGTTTAAAAAATGACAACATTAATTGTTGTCTTGAAATCGAAGTATACATGGCTCCTGTAAAACCGCGCAATCAAATAAAAAGGGACTGGCACTATACGTTTATTTGGCCTCAAAGATGGCCGCGTAGATATCGCTCCAGTTCCCGTAGGCTTAGATAATTTGAAAAGTATACACACTTCTCACTAGGCGCAGCAAGTAGCGACAAGCTTTTTCATGCTGTATATCGTCAAAAATTGATGAGGGCCACCATGATTTATTTTGTTATAGACTGCCTTGTAGTTGTTGACGGACATTATATTAAGAACACTTGACATGCAATTAAAAGCAGGAGCTTTATGATAAGGAACTGTCAATATAATAAAGAAAGCAGCCATGCGGTTCTCGACTTGTTGATGGGGAATAAGTTATTTAAAACTTTGGGTCTGTCAATTTTTCAAAGAAACTGAAAGAACAAAAGGGTTTTTGGAACATATTTTATAAACTTACGTTGACATTCAAGACAAGAACGATAACATTGGATTGTCGTGTGAAACGATGTCATGTTTTATGCTTTCATAGCTAATTTTGCCAATCGTAGATAAAAGACGTTTTTATTTTGATTATTCTAACGACATTAGGGTTATTACAAAGCAGCTCAATCATTCCATCGCGTTCTTATCTACACATATATTCTCTCTGCTCCTTGAATCTATAACATCCTATACTCATGCAATAATCCCTTCCACCTGTCTCGTCCTTTATACCTTAAATAGCGAACACATGCATGAATGGATAGTCACACAGTAAATACGAAACGAAAAGGTTTTGTCTGCAATTCCCTTATTCTTAATACGCGTACTTTGAACTTCCATATTACTTCTACTCACCTTGGCTTAATTGATCTAACCAATGTTTAGTCTGAGCGGAAAACCTAGAGGCCATATTATCAATTTTCAGGCCAAATATGGGGCATTACTTCCTTAACCTCTCAAAATGTGGAATTTCTCAAAATGAGGAATTCAAAATGTTAGACTTTTAGTTCCTTGTCTTGACATACATATATGCATGCAAAAGTAGCCTATAGGTGTGTCAAATACACAAACGCATCAAGTATAAAGTGCGAGATGGAATTAAAGATGACGTTTTAGTATATATATATATGCATTGCTGGATTATGGGTTTCATCAAAAAAGTTCAATAAAAATTTACGAAAGGCAACAGAATTTGGCGTCCAAAGATTTGAAAAGTATACACAGGATCTTACATGAAGGATGATAAAGGACTATATTTCTTATGCGGATTACAAAAATTATGCGAGTTTTAATTGTCAATTTGGACGGTACAATTATAGCTACATGTACTAAAACAACATGCATGTTGTGTTGAGGTTTACCTTGGTGCAAAACCAACAGGTACTGAGATAGTTTGTGATAATTTATTCAATTTCTCCTCATATTGTCTCATTTCCACCTAGGAGACGGTTTGTTAAACAAAACAACTTGATACACTAGTTGAACTCAATTCAAATGTTCTGTAACTCGCATATATGATGGACCTCTTTTTTAGTAAACTCAGCATGTTTCACGGCTTGGCGACCATATATTTGGGTAAGATTTTAGATAAAAATTATCATCATGCAGTTTAAGATATCATTGGGTATAAGATATTAGAGAAAAATATATCAGGTATATATCTTGAGTAGTATATAGGTTTGTCAAGGGTCACGCACAGGACTTTATTCTTTTAGCAATTTTAGGGAACACGTAGAAATTTACAGAAAGAAGCATTTTTTTTCAAGTAGTTAATCTAAATCCAGGATATATTTCGTAATTTAGAAGTTTAAATCTGGGGGTAAAAACTAATCTTTAAGAATGCCAGAATACTTTCTTTATCGCGATCATGCTTGCATGCATGATTTTTTTATTCAATTCAGAAGAAAATGTCTCGACCTGAACCATATTTGCGCGTGTGTGTTTGAACAAATCCAAATACATGAGGGTCATTCTGGGCTAAGACGTGTATAATGAAACCTTACTCATTATTTGTATATATACATGTAGGTATATATAGTGGATATAGGGTGATATATTGGCAAACCGGAATAGAGAACATTTGAAAGTCATATGGGGTAGCGCAATATCCTTAGCCCACCCTCTTTGTCATATGATATGATAGGACTACAACTAAAAAGGGTTAAATTAATGCGATTTGTAGGACCATGCAGTGATATATGAAACATAAATGCACTGCTTGCAAATGTCAGCAAAACGAAGTTATTATACCAGCATTCGTTGCAGTCTCAAAGTTGTTAGAATTTTTTTAAAATTACACGTCTATGATATACGTTATATTTCAATTAACTATATAGTAACTATATAGTGATGATTTTATGCATAAACGTCTTGTATTGTGCATAGATGCATGGGGAAATTATAAGCATGCATTGTATATACTTAAACTAAATCTGTTTTCAGTTTCCACGCATGTGTGCATACATGCATGGTGTTCGTTTTTCATATATACGGGTTAAAATTTTGTCAAATATTATTCAGTATAGCATGAAAATTGTCTAAAGTTGTATATTTAAATAATACCCAAGATATTTACCATGGAGGAATTCATAAATCTGATATATAGCTCGAATCAAAATAGATATACGAGAAATTAAAATGGCAAAGTGCCTTTTGCATTGAAGATGTAATTGATTTGAAAAGAATTCTTCTTCAGATGTAAGTTATATCCACCAGTGCATGATAGTAATGGTGGATATAGCTATATATCTCAGTAATGAATCCTGCACCTTTATTTCATCACACGTTTCATCATTTTCGCTAAAAGCATGCATAGATATGTTTTCGTGTAAATTAAATGGGGTTTTTGTTATAAATAGCAGGAAAACCATAGTCTAGTTCTTACTTAATAAAGATCTAAAATAGGGTAACAATCTTGTTCCCTGTGTGCATCATGAAATACATATATATAATCAACAATATAGTCGATAATCAATGTTCATTTTTAGTCAACGTTCTATATATAGCTATAGTCACAATCTTTTGACTAAGTTCTACACGACTTTATACTGATTGCCACAATGCAGATTTCTATTTTTAATACGTTTATAGTTGTCTGTATTGGAAAGCGAAAGTATATTTGTTTTATCCCACTGAGTTATGTAACATTATTGCAACTGCATGAAAAATCTCACAGGCACATGCACATGCACATGCAGCGTTGATATATAAACTCCACCATAAATCACTGTTGATTTATTTATTTTTAACAACTGGGTATATAAAATTTTGCATTAATGTAACACAACAAAATTTTGCATACAGCAATTGAGAACAAGGCTAGGAAAATTTAACGAGGGGAAACGCAAACAAAATCATCAATCTTAAGTCTATATAGTTATATCAGGAGCGCGATATTATAAAAATCATCATGCATGCAGACATCGCATGTATCTATAGCCTATTTTGACATTATGCTTATTCTATACATACCGTATACCCAGTTATGTATAGTTTATACTGATTCATTGTTATGAATGCCTTGTAATGCTCAGTTTAATAAGGAAAGTGAAAAAAACCGAACAATTTATTTACAATTATATTAGTCCATGATATACAGTCGACCGCGCGAATCAGCATGCACATGCATATATTCTTTAGTTGTTGATGCGACAATCATGCACTTCTATATATCTTTGGACTAAAATTTTAACCTTTTTTGATATTCCAGTGATACAGAATATACAATACAAAAAAAATGTTTTGAGCATTAGATCATTCCCTGAAAAAAAGCGACATGCATGCATGCCGCGTTGCTGCGATTTTTATACAGACAGATCAGATGCATGCTCTTGAGTTGAAGTTTATATAATCTCAGTCTCTTTGTTCGTGAATCATGTAACATAGTGTTCAAAGGGGGAAGATATAAATGTTTAGGAAACTCTTGTACAAACAGTTTATATTATACTCGATTTGTTATTGGCATGAAGCACTTTGCATGATGTCGATCGCGACTATCTCAGGCGAAAGCACTTCACTTCTCTTTGGCCTTTGACTTTCTTTGCCGTGGTATAAAATTCGAATCTAATTTCTTTCGTGTGAATTGACTATTATTAAGGAAACATTGAATGCCAAAGAAATGCTGAAATACGTTTTTACATACCCGCACTGAGTCAAAACCATGCATGGCACACAAGTCGTCCACTTACTTCGTCATCCACGTTCTCCTTCGTTCGCGCGACTTCCTCGCTGCTACAGAAATTTTAGCTTTTAAAAAACACTTCACTCTTTCCAAAACAGTCCTGTTGTTGTTTTGAAAGCATTACAATTGTATTTAGTCTTTAGGCTATGTCACATTTTGGTTGGGAGGGAAACATTTCGCTTCAAGTAGTCATAAATTGGTGACCATTTTATAAATGTTTTTATCATACATGTTGGTCGCGGCAAACTTCTCCCTTCAATTTCAAAAGCCAAAATAAATGCATGCGGTATAAAATCATAAGTACATATTTAGGCTAATCGATAGATAACTATAAGAGTGTTTTCACCAAAATATATACGGTCAATGATAATATATTTCACGAGAAGAAACAAGACTTTTATAGTCTCAAACATTCGATGTCAAAACCGGGATGCACGAATCGCGACATAGCCTAAGACTAAGTACGTGTATGCCTTCCATAGACATTACTAGCTATATGTGTACGAAAGTTAACTTCACAGTCATCTGAAAAGCAATATAAATTTGCCCTCTTTGTTCTAGACTTAGCTAAATCAATATTTTTGGGAAGAACAACGTTTTCAGACCAGCATTTTCTGATTGAATATTACTGACCGTCGGACCGGTTTAACGACTTCATTCAACGTATAGCTTGTATAATAAAGCATGACTCTTTTTTTATACTATTTATAAATATATATGTATTGAGTACCATAATTATATTACACTTACAATATATATATATATATAGTTTTACACATTTTATATACATATATGAAGTATAATTTATATTTTTGCTTCTGACTATACACCATGCACTATAAGTCCTATACACTGTAAAAAATGAATGGTTGAAACAACCAAAAAAAAAAGGTTCTCCTGGATGCAACCAGGACAACCAATTTTTTTTTATTTTTTTTTTTTTACCAAATTCATTTTGGTTAAAATTACCAATATTAATATTGGTTGAATCTACCAATATTTAATAGGTTGATGTAACCTATATTCAATTTGGTTAATGTAACCAATGTGCAATGGTTTTTTTGACCAATTATTTCAACCAATTAAAGATTGGTTAAATTATCCTGAAATTCAGAGCACTTCAAATCAAATTTTGTCAAAACACACATATATATTATAAAAGATCTAATATAATAAATAAATTATCCTAATGGTTATTTGCATACATATATACAAATTACTACATTCAAACACTTATCTTACTAGGATTCATCTATCTATACTTAAGTCATTTCTAGGTTCTCAAAGCTGCGGTAAAAAGTTTTTAACTCCAATTGGAATGTTCGTTTTTCCGTCTGTTTGTAGTAATATCTGGTCCAGAAGAAGGAACACATTCTTTGTCTACCCACCTCCATCTTTAGGGTTCTCTGCGTTGGATACATACAATGCAGTCAGCAAACACACAACAGCATTTAAGATGGAAAACTGCTTAAACTTTATTGCTACCATGCCTTCAGCCAAAAGGTCTAGTGAATGGATGTCACCAAGAGATCCAGTTAATAGCAACTTCGGGAATGTTCTTTTTTTTACAATGGTCTAAATTTCAACACCACTGTTATCCTAAAATAAATTCAAAATTATAAAACTTTATATTCCTAAGCTTGGAAATAAAACATTTACATATGGGAAAATCCTGGGACACAAAAGAGCAAGACCCTACACTTCACAAGCAGCCACTTGAGCATATTTTTAGTTCTTATGGAGTAACTCTTGAACTATAGTTTAATATTTACAGGGACAATTTCCCAAAATAATTGTCCAGGTCTTTCTCTGCCTCAACTGATGCAGCGGGGCAGTGTAGATGCAATGGTTTTCAATTTCTATTAAATAAGTTTGATTACAAGATTCAGCAGGCAACATAATAAATGTGATTTGCATAGTTCAACATTGTATATTATATACATATATATCTGTAGATACCTTTTTCTAGTTCGGGTGACAATCCTCTAATAGACCAATAATATGTTGGACATCTTTGTTCTTGTTCTTTTCCAGAGCAGCCAGCATTGATGGCTTCTTTGAATCAATGTTTGGGCATCTTAAACATGTGCATCGAAATGATGCTCTACACACAGAAAAAGTAAAAGTCAACAATTAACTAAACCAAGATATGTATATAAGATATATCAACTTCCACAAATAGTTACTAACAATTACTACTTACCACATATACTCTTAACTTTCTCTGGGTCGAGTTGGGGTTTTGCATCCTTTTCTTTAAAGACATTTGAAAGTTTCCCAGGTATGGAATGAGAGCAAAGTTGTTCTTGCATCCTCGACATGCCCATAATTGCATAAACCAAATTTTGACCTTTGGTTAATATGTTTAGATATAAGAAAATCTGTAAATTTTAACAGTAAATATGAAATTTAAACATTTGACACCTTATTCATTCTTAGCATGATGCCATGATATAGCTATAGAATTTATAAATGTACTGCAAAAGCATTGACAGAAACCGGAATAGTTGTAATGGCCCTATTTATAATGATATAAATAAAAGGTATATTATATTATCTATATGATTCACCAGAAGTAGGATTTGCAGTTGTTGAGTTTTGACAGCATAAATACAATAATACTTGCCATTTCTGATTCAGCATCAGAATTTGAGGATTTCTGATTCAGCATTAGTCACAAGAATCTTGCACTTAAAGGTGATCTTGAAGCCTTGATGGAGTGAATAAAGTAATCTTTTAAATGACTCAGTGCATGGTTATATATGGAGGGCATTTCATATTTAATTAATACTAGTAGGCATGTGACAGCTGGACAAAGTTTTGAAAAAGTGTCCAGCAGCCATACAAAGTCTGATCTGAAAAAATAGTCAATATTTTAAATATAACATACTATATCAACACACACTCACCACTGAATTATAATACTTTAGCTGTACACATGTTGTTGTTGAAATTGTAGATAGTTGAATGGAACCTTTGATCATTTTCTTATCAACTTTAGAAATTCCACATGGCCATGACACAATTACTTCTTCCTCGCGATCACAGTCACTATTCACAAAAAATCCGGATCTCCTCGCATATTAATCCAGCGTGTTTCACCAATTTCGCATGACTACTCATTGACAAATTCAAATAACGCGTATTTTATGTTAAAATACGAAAGAAAAACCTTGAACCGATGACAAAGAGTCAAAGACGCGCTCAAAATTTGAAAATAAAGCGTGTCGGTTATTATACAAGTCCCACATAACCTTGCGGTCCTTTTTGGGCAAAACGCCCGCCACCTAACCTGCGAACAGGTATATTATGAAAACAGTTTACAGATAAGTGTGAAATATGTGTGATTTGTCCTTACAAAACGAGTGATTTTTGCTGAGAATTTTAACTTTAAGATTTAATATTCTATAGGATTTGTAAATTCTATAGAATACGGCAATGGAATTCTATATAGCATAAGATCATAAGAAGTCCTATAGAATATTCTATAGCCATAGGATTTAGAATGTGCTATAGATAGCATTCTAGCATATTTTATTGGATTCAATAGAACATAGAACCAGAGGTCTACAAATATACCCCATTGACCACAAAGATTAATTGGTCAATTTAACCAAATTTTATTTGTTGCTACTAAATATATTTGGTTGTTTTTACCAATATGAGCTTTCATATCCATTTTACCAATTTTTTATTGGTTATTTCTACCATTTTAATTTGGTTTTAACCAATTTAATTGGTTGAAACAACCATTTTATATGGTTGCAACCTTTTTTTTTGGTCATTTCAACCATTCAGTTTTTACAGTGTATATACATAGTCATCGGCGCTTGTTCGGACAAGCTACAATATAACACAGATACTATATTTAAGTCTATATCCCCTTTCACCACAAGTAAAGCTATATATGTATATTATGCTGTCGAAATACAGCCTATGAATTCCAAAATTTACAAAACTATTTACAAAAATTTCGTCCGCGGCAAGGGAATACCCTTGACTTTTCTCATTGTCTTGCATGGCAAATTGATACATGCACATATCCTTCGCGAACCAAATGTTACTTTCGTATAGACAAATTGCTACATATTAAGCACAGTTATTCAGCGTAACGATAGTTGCAAATGTGAGAATAATCCCAAAAGCAGCTAGCTGCAAGTGTTTGCATTTTCTTAGAGCTTGTTCATTCAGATTGTCCCCAATATGAGCGAGCGTTTGCCCAATTTCGTTAACAATCGGCACAGCGTTGACACCGGCTTCGTCCAGATGATTGTCTTCCTCATGAGCGGTACTCCGATCAATACGAAATAATTTCATGTTGCACATTTTTAGTCCGTTGTCGTTAGTTGGCGTTGTATACTTTTTCAATGCTTTACCAACTCAGTATAAGGGTGAATATAACTCAATAATATACGCAGACTAAATTCTAATGCGTTGACGATGTATAATGTTTATACAATTGACCAAAGTACAATTTTTACCGGTCTCTTACGAAATTGGTCTTCTGTTCGATAATTCAATTTACTTTTTGTCACAAAAGAAACCCGACGTTGTCTTGAAAGGAAGAAACAGTTTTTACCTTCGCCTGGGCAGCCTTCCAAACGTCGTCTGAACTCTGTTGCTTTGGCACGGATGACGTCGCCCGCGTTTCTACTTCACCAGACAGCAGCTTTATGTTTATAGTTTGCTAATACGCATGCTCTGTTCTTATTACGGCTAAAATCTAAAAAAGTTCAAAATCCTAAGACAATACTACCAGCATGTTTAGTGGCATGTTAAAATGAGAAATATGTCACAAGAGTTAACGTTCGCTTGTTTTAAACCGCTCTAACCCAAAAACAGACAATATACATATAATAGCATATCAATCAGGCATTAGCGTGTGTCGCCATGGCGTGTTGAGGCATGTTTTCGTGCTTGTTGTAAAACAATGCCACCGTAAAATAGCGTGATGCATGCGTGTGTGCTATTAAAACAATATATACGAATTAAATTGCAGTCGTGACGGTGAGACAATATCAAAGCAAACACTTTGCTAGCCATTTGGATGTGTCCCATTTAGTATGCCAAATTGCGTGGGTGATCATGACACCTTGGTGCAAGCTTTTGGATTTGAAGATTTTGGATTTATTCCAACAGTAAAAATGGACATTACGTAGTGAGAAATCCCCCTCCTCTCCGATCATTTTATGCTGAATGTAGAGTAATAAATTATATATGCCCATTTTCTCAAAAAAGAATAACCTGATGAAATTTATTCCTTACTGTCCTGCTGCATGAGCTTCTGAATGTTGGTTTATAGTTTGAACTGAGAATAAACAACTACCAGTGAATATCTATAGAACTTTGTCGCGTTTCAATGCTTAATGAACAACGTCAACTAGCTTTCGTTGTGAAAATACAACAAATTTAATACTCCAAGTCAATGATTTCACTTGAATAACAGAACTCAACTTATCATATTATGTATATTGTATCATTATATATACTAATAATAACCCGAGTAATAACCCATATAGTTTTATCAAATAGAAAGCAACGATATATTCAGCGTTATGCTCTAGAAATTTTAATCAAGCAGGTGTGCTAATCTCTCCTCTCCATTTATAGCCATAGGGCAGTGAGATTCTGCTGTGATAGGGTTCCTGTAGCTGCTTCGAACATAATAGTTATATGACACTTCAATCTTGCTTAAACAAATACTGTTTAAAACGTTTGTTTTGAAAACCATTCATAGACAAACGAAATTCATAGACAAACAAAACTCGCAATACACGTTTAAAAAAGCAGAGGCATGATCTACATATAATTAAACTTCAATGAATTTCAAAGAGTAAGATTATAGTATAGTGTATAAAAATATGCTGGCATATTACTGTACGCAATTACAGATATCTGTAATAATCACCAGCATATATTTTTCTAATTCAAATCCACTTCAGTAAGAATTCTGCAGTAAGAATTCACCAATTTTATTTTTATCACCGGAATGACCTTAGCCTAGCCTAACCTTGCCTCCCAGAGTAGCGTTAGGAAATTCAAATTTAGAACAATAGGTACAACAATAGGATGTAATTGAATTAAATTTCGAACGAATTTCCGGACAGCACCGAGTGGTACTCTGTTGATAATTGCGAAAACGTGTCGGAGGAGAGATTCAATAAATCATACTATATATGCATGCATGTATTGTTATAAACTAATGATATAATTTTTGTTCTTCCTACAGGTTACTCGGATAAAAAGTTTGGCAATGGGTTGCAGTTGCAGCCATACAAGTTGGTTAATTTCAAAATGTGGAATTTGGACTTATTTTATCGAGCCTGATTAGCTCTACCTTTTCATTAAAAATGGAATTAATTTGATCAACCTCGTCATCTATTTAAGGATTGGATTACTATATATAGTTTAATGGAATTTATGGATGTATGAATTTATCCTTGGCATTGTTAATGGATTGTTAAAATCATGGATGGAAATAAGGATGTAATGGTTTGTGGATATTTGGCTATTATAAAGAGAAAGAAGTTGAAGTATTTCTATGGAAAAAATGAAGATATACTTGGATTAATTATGCAGGTTTGTTTATAAGCTATAATTAACCAATGCCGCAGAAATAAAAATTAGGACACTTATATAAGCCTTGACTTAACCATCTTAACTAATCTGAAGTGTTTTGGTCAAGGTTTAAGTTCATATCTTTATATATGACAAGATTCATCCTATTATATTTAAAACCTCTTTGTCTCCAGGCTTTCTTGATGAACGTGACTTATTATACATACATATAAGCTAAAAGAACATGCCATTTGGAATGCACTCAAACAAACCCTCTATATACTGGCGATAATATAAGTCTATACCTAAAGATTCGTTCAAACATTGTTTTTAAACCCAAACCTAATCTAAAGTCTTTCACAGTTTCAAAACATACCAGGCCACAACAATAAAAATGTTGGATAGTGCTCGAATAACCTTTTGTGGATTGTTTCAACTAAACAAAATTTTAAACGTGCAAGACATAGAGTATATACGAATGAATGCATGCAAGCATGCATGATAAGTGTTAAATTCGCAAAAATCAATAACCGTCTACAAAATATTCTTATAAATCCTTGAGCATAAAAAAGACACAGCTAATCCATTCAGGAAGCACCTGTAGACATGATGGATTTTTTAGCCGGTTTGTAAGAATATGAAACAATATCAAGCATTTGAGTGGGTGGCAGATTAGGAACAGATGAAGCTCGGCGCGTGGCTATAGAATTTATCCAATATTAAATAAAGTATTTAACAAACTCACGAATTATCAGTTAACTCAAGCTAGGTGCAATTAGGCAATAGTTTTAATTTATAATCAAAACTAATTCTAGATATTGATTGCCAATATTATACAAAGTTTAAATCGTGCAGTCCCTGCATGCCAAAGTGGAGTCTTAATCCCTACATGTCTCATAGTGGCCAGAATTGGCTAATTTGCTTGGATAAAGGTGAAAATCGCGTTCCCAAAGGTGAAAAGTGCCTTTAATTGTTCAATTTCACCCCCTCAACGCGACCCTTCACCTTGTCTGCATGCATGCACTGACATTAAAGGCGAAATGACTAATAGCCTCTTCTCAGGCAACCCATGTAGTAACAAAGCAAATGCTATATGGCGAAGAAGACTATAGCTGTATAATAAAACTACATTCATGTGGTATGGTTGTATAGTGGTTGTGTAACTCGGGGAAACAGAATATCTAAGTACTAAAGTACATATTATACACGCTAAAAATATTCCAAACATGAATAGAAAATAGAAACAGCTATACAAACCCCATATTTATGATGAGTTGCGCCATACAGTATCCAGACGACTTTTGCATTTCACGAAGATGCACCACATGTATATGCTTTTCCTAGAATCATAAAATAATCATTCTAAACCTACGGCAAAGGACTGTAGCTTTGAAACGCTTTCTGCGTGCATGAATCTTCGTTTGTGGTTTATCTCATATACATGTCAAGTATAATTAAATAACCAACTCTTTTATCACGATATTGTTAACATGTCAACATATCATTTTTGTCTCTTTGTTTGATATATTAATGTCGTCCAAACAAAATTCCTTAACAACGACAACTATTTTTTAAAGTGGGTCCTTGACATTTAGAAATTCCTATCAGGCGCTTGCGATACCACTCTTGTCTTCTTATAAACTATAGTCTAATATTTACTGAAATTGTACAGAGCGAAGACACAAGTGTATTGTACTAAGTTTTATATTTGTTTCCATGCTAGGTTATACACGCATGATGGAAATATTATTGCTATATAATTTTATGCGTTTATAATTCTAGGTCGCGTGTTCCGATCTGAAGCGTGCTATTGCATGGGCTATAAAATTTATATATTCAAAGAAAAAATGCCAATGCTCATTAAATTTCCATCTAAGGCTAAGTCTTCACATATACATGTTCAACTTAATTATGTTGCAAAGCTTGCAATATTTCTCAATCTGTTGGGAAATAATTGAAGTTTTCGAATCTCACATCAGGATCACTGTTTTGCACTAACACATGCATCATCACATCTCCGTTGTTCTTACCACAAATGCATGCGATCTTATGTCAACAATATTGATTATATCTGCAGGCATGTTATGTCACCCATGCATAACTATCTTCGCCTCTACATGCAAAATAATACGATTTAGGATGGGCCTTTAAGTTTTAGATCTGCTTAAGGGCATATATATATGAAATACATATTTATGTTGAGTTTCAAATCTATTGCACGGGATGTAAATAGTTTACATTTCCCAAATTATTCCTGGTAAAACGCTGAAATGCATTCTCGATATCAAAAATTTTAAAAAAACTTGGCTGTCATATACGAGCTAACCTCAGCGATAAACGAAGGTTAATTCCGCAGGAAATTCGCCAGGATGTTAGTAAATATACGTCAATAAAAAATCATCGCTTTTGTTAAGGCCAAATTCTATAAATGAATATACTTATAAGATAATAAGCTGATTATAATTGCATGCACTTTCCCGAACAACATATGCATTTCCGGGCTAAAACTATATACTTCATGCAAAACCACAAACAAACTTATTGATTTGGATCGACTTGCATTCGAATGTATATATTTTTGCTGATAATATATCTGTTGAATTGCATGCAATGAACAATTCTTCTGTTTCTCATTATTAAGGGCGTTTTCTATTTACCCATGCATACAGTTAAAGGTTATACAAAACGTTTCGGAATATAGGACGGTTCTGTTCAGAAGGTCAATTTTAGGCGAATTTTAAATGCACCAATACCTCCCTTCAAAAATGCAAGAAATTAGGTGCAACCTGTTTCGCAATAAAATAGAAAGAGCGCCCTGTATACTGATTTTGCCCAGAATTAAGTAAAACGCTCAAGAATTTTCTACCATGCATATATTAAAATTTCTATATATACTTATCTCTTTTAATTTCTGATAGTCATTATATATACGATATAATATAGAAATCCTTTCATTAGCCAGCCAAGAAAAGAAAAGATCTACTTTAGAGCTTTCGATCCAGCTCGGGGCCCTTAGCTCGAAGATGCCTAAGTCGACACGATGGAAACATCGAGAGGTTTTGTTGGATATTTTAGGCAGTTATGTTGTAGGCACAGTTGTTAAGGTATTTCAAGAAGTTGCTACGTGTTTGAATATTTTGTCCAAGGCATCTTCCAAGAATCTATAGCTATATATCTGCACTCACATGCATACACATCTCGTTCGCATAACTTGCTTGACGAATATACCCTTTACGAAGAACGTCATTATTTACTTTTCCCTTGGTTCTAAGCGTACACCATTCTGATAGCTATAGAGCACATGCATCTAAAACTTGTATATAATTTGCGATGTGTAATGATTATAGGTATTGCGACAGAATATATATCTGAAATATTTGGGGTTTTTGAAAAAACTGTGTGAATTCCACTATGTCCGGTACGCGATCTTATATACGTAGATTAATTCCCTGTGTCCATATAAACCGTATATAAAGGAAAAATTTTCGCCCCGTAAGTCTTAAAGTGCACAGCAATCACAAAGTACAGAGTATAGATGGACAAAATGTAAGTAGTACATTGTATATATATATGTTTTACAGTATTCTGCTGGGAAATCACCAAATGCTTATTTCGGCTTATCAGTTCAAGTACAATAGCAGTCCGGGAGAGATCTATTCAAATTGACAAGCAAAAGGAGCTAGCGTTTATTTGATATAAATAATAGATGTAATTTAAAACAAACATTCGCAGTTCTGCATGTCCTTATATATTAAATATATATAGAGAGCAGCTTAATATAATAATAATCATATCAAATAGTCAAGAAAACGAGGGAAGTACTGACGCCTTCATGCATGCATGTATTAAGTATCACAGTTAATAGCTATATACTTAACGTTGTTATTATTATTATAGTCTTACTAAAAAATTTAAGTTAAAATATATTAAACAAAAGCTCAACAAGGGGTATTTCCTTTATGATAAAGGCCAAGGCGAACCAATAATTTTTTCAAAGCAGGATTAATATAATCAGAATCGCTTTCATATGTAGCAATAAAAAATCACAATCTTGATCATTTTTTTCAAAAAAGAATATATAACAGCTTTAATGCATGGTTATGATTTAAGCCAGATAGATATGCAGCATGGATCTTGATGTTTTGGTGACATGAGCTTGCGAGTTTTTGTCATGATTTATTTTAATCTTCCTTTATGGATAAACTTTAGAGTAAGCCAATGTTTATTCATTTATTTGTATAGATACTTAAGGTATATACACTAGCTATAGACCCCCACGAATTAGATAAAATTGATCCTATGTCAAGCTTCTGCATGTGCGGTATGAGACAGAAGTATGTTAAATAATAATTAGATAAGCTAGCTACCCCGTCGAGTTGCAGTGAAATGAGGTACAGCTTTTAAACCCCTATAGTGTTTTATTGCTTCAAGATTCGATTCGGAAACGAGAACGTCTGTTTACACACACAACAAAACGCTGAAAGAGCAAAGCTAAGATTCGCTGTTTTGAGGAGTTTTAAGGTAAACAACAAATGAAATTTTGTCACCTAATTGATGTATACCAGCAGCTTGAAAATATAAATATATAGACCCTCGTTAAATTTACAATATAGGATGTAGTAGCTATTACGGATTTATATGCAGGGCAGTTTCGCATGATTTTGGCATTGTCTAGAATTCATAAGTTTTAGGTCGTAACATTTCACATCTCAAATTACCAGCAGAGAATCATCGCATAAAGGAAGGATTTTTCTTTCTTGGCTAAACAACACATGTTTTTCACAGGATATAGATATTCTTTCTTTCATCCTGTGCCAGAGAAACTGCGTTTACAAAAGATTCTCTCTGCTGATATATAAAACCTAACTTTCTGGTTTATATTTAATAAACCGGTATGCCGGTGCCTAGATGGGTGCGAACCGGAGTGCATCCTGGGAGTGTCCACGATATGCCATATATACTTGGGTTGGGTGGATGTGCTACGTCACATTCTCTTTAACATTCGCGGCGTCGGTCTAAAC